AATTTATGAAAGAAGCGTTTGATGCTGCAGACGTGCTTTTCTGTGATTTTAAAAATAAAAGTGGCTGCTATAAGACGTGAAACTGTCCACCAGGATGGATGGATGTGTCCAAAKTCGTGTTTCAGCTGGACTGCTCCAGTGCTGAAAATGAGGTTTTGACTCTGCAAAATGACATTGGGATTAAATCCAGAGCAACAAGTCACATGGATGGAGAGTTCTGGAGTCAGCTTTCTGACACATGAAAATCAAGTCCAAGAGCAGATCCACAAAGATTGGTGATCATCTGGAGACCTGCTTACACCTCATACTGTCTGCCTATGAGACCCTGGGCAGTGTCAGAAGTCCCACTAAGGTAGACATACATTTATTTTTTACAGCTTCTTGCATAAAATGTTGTCTCCTCTAGACTTGTCACAATGGGTCTGTATGTTTTATTATTACATTTTAGACCAGACTAGTGTATTATACACTGACTGGCACCTTTGTGTTATTTATTTATTTATTCATTTGTTTTGCAGTTGTTTTCTCTACCTAATGTGGCTGTGTGTGTGTGTCTTGTCAGGTGGTGAACAAGTGGAACTCTTTGAATGGTCTGGAGCCGGCAGTCTGGACCAGTGAGGACCAGCACCTACAGATGACACACATCCTGCACGCTGCACAGAGATGGAGGTTTGAAATAGTTGTCTGAGATTTGTGAATCTGCACCATCGTAAGTCACTTTTTGTAACAGTATAATCAAGAGAGCTTTATATAGTGTGCTTTGACTTTAGTTTTAGGTTTTGTTTTTCCTCCCCTGTATGGAGAGAAAGAGAGGAGAGTTCTTTGAATAAATGGAGACGAGTTCCCCTGCTCCAAAGTTATTTAAGTCTGTGGTTTTCTCAGTGTGCAGGTTTCCACCCATCATAGCTCGCATGTTACAGGGAGTACTAATAGAAAGAGGTAAAAAAATTGGTCCTTTTTGTTCGAGCATCACTTTTTTGTTTCTCTGCCAGGAGCTAAGTAAGGATTTTATCTTTTCTTTTTTTTTGTAGGTAAATATATGGTTAAGTAGATAGTTTTGTTTGACAATACTTTAAATTAAATAAAACTAGCAACACATTATTTTCTGTTTTATTTAAAGAAGTGAGGAGTAGGGAGACGAAAAATTATGTTTTTTTGATACTGAGACTGGACGAGTAGATCTCGGCAAACTGCCGACTTCAAAAGTAGCTCTTGGTTCAAAAAAGGTTGGGCACCCCTGCTCTACAGCCTCTAGTCTGGTCCTGGTCTGGGAAAAAAAAAAGGTCCGTGAGAGCGCCTCTAAATTATCTGGTGAATTAATTATCTGCTCTGTGAGCAACGTTCTCTTGCTCTTTAGTAAATAAAGCAAAGCAATTTTATTCATTTTATCGTCATTTCAAACATCAACCGACCGGAAAAAGAACAAAGACGCTCCTCCCACTGCGCGTCTTTAGACGCGTTTGGTGTGAACAGACAGCTGCTGACAAGCAGCCAAACGCATGCGGCAGGAGCATTTTGGCTGCTCCAAACGCGTCTGGTGGGAACCCGGCTTTAGAGTTTGTGATTGGAAAAAAAAACAACTGTAAATTAGCTGTGAGCACCATCTAGAAAGGAGTTTGACTACATGATATTAAGCAGTTCATGAGATATTTTGCTCGAGCAAAAGCATTACTGTCTGCCTTTCAACATGTGATAATAAAATAAAGAGGTATATTACACAGTAGCTCTTGAGGCGAATGAAGTCCACTGTCATTGGGATGGAGCGATCGCTGTTCCGGTTCAGGGCTTTGATGTAATCCAGCAGGTCTGCAAAAAACTTGTAACCCCCTTTGAGCACACAGAGGGCCACGATGTGGTGCCCCCCCATTTCCTTCATAATCTCTCTGGCCAGTCTCTCTGTCCTGGAATAATGTGGGAGGGAAGAGGAGGGGGCAGAGAAACAAAGAGGATAATCAGTGCCTGCTCCTGCTGCGGTCAGCAGAATGTATCGTTTCTTTTCTGTCGGTCATTTTTAAAACACAAAGTAAACCGCTTCAACATCAAAATCTGAACCACTGCACTTAAACAGTTATAAAACACACTCAAGCATGAAGTTAAGGTAGTTTTAGGTTCAACAGGTGTGGTGAGAACACAGCCCCTCGCTCCATGAGAAACTAACGTTGGATCAGATGATTCAGCAGAGAATAATAAACCAACTGAGCTTCAACAGATTAAAGCTGAAGCTGATGTGGAAAAATGTCAGCTTACAGGTCCTGTCACTGGACTAAAGGGTCCTACATTCCAGATCTGAAGCCGAGCTAGCAGTCACGTGGTGGTTTTGAGACGGTTGTTTTCACATAGGTTTTTCACAGTTCACAACACACACATGGCAGAGCTCTTGGGAAACCCATCCTACTGCAGTACCCGTCTCAGCATCAGGTTCTTCCTGCTGGGGTCTCTATTCGGTCACAGCGTCTGCCGTTTGGCCACAAATCTGCCCTGAAGAGAGCGCTACACTTCAATTAGGCTCAATGAACTTGTGTGATAAGTTTTCTCTCAAATTAGTCAGAGCTGCTGTGAGCATTAGAGCTGCATTTTGACAAATCGACTTGGTCTTCACTTCTGAAGTGCACTCCAGTAGATCAAAAACAGCACAGCTGTGAGGAAATAATGGAGTATGGCCAAAACTGCAAACAAAAGAAGGCAGTGATTTTCAACACCTGACTGTGCTAAACACAGCCTCGCAGCTCAGTTGTCAAAAACACTCAGAGTTCAGTGAAACTGCAACCGTCTCAGTCCTCAATGTTTTAACAGTAGCACTGATTAAAATACTTGGCAGAAACACTCACAATCACAATTAAGAGGGTTTATAACTTTGTTCTGCTGGTGGATGGTGTTAAGCAAAAAATAGAGCTTATAAATATAGTTTTACTGCTTTAAACACTTCACTACTGCCTCAGAAATATTGTCACCTTTTACAAATCCTAACCTAGTCATCTGCAAAGAACGTTAAGAAACAACGTCTGCTGTTAAAATGGGTTTTATAAGCTATACTAACTACAGTAAGACAAACTTTATTCCTGCCTGCAGAAATGTAGGACAGACTTATAACTGATTCTTTATTGGGTTTCAGGGACAGAAATTGTTCCCATGGCTGGTACTTAGAAGAGAAGGATAAGAAGCAAAGAGAGCAGAAGCACAGTGTCGAACTTGGAAATAACGAAATAAGAGTCTTTGAAAGATTTGTTTCAAAAGAAAGGCTTGGGAAACTGGAAAAGGTATCATCCTTGAAAAGATCTTTGAAAGTGTTAATACCATGATGTTTCCACTGTATATTAGTACTATCAATAAGCCCAGGGGGAAATACGTAGATGATTTTGCATGATAGGCATAATAACTGATGCAGAAGCGAACTTGAAATGATTCCTGTATCTTAAGACTGGACTGCACCACGAGGTTTTTTGTAAAAGGATGAGGGTTAAATGGAAGAGGAGAGGTCAGTAAAGCCTCCAATGAAGAGGTACACAATATAGGCGCTCTAATTTGCACCATAAAAGTTCTTTTGATTGCATCCAGTAAGTCAATTTGTAAATGTGGGCAGACCAATAGTAAAAATAAAAAATTTGACAAAGCTAGACCCCCATCAAATGTAAGTCTCTGTAACAGAGATTTTTTCACCTTGGGATGTTTCCCTCCCCATAAGAACACTGTGACCATTTGGTCTAATTTTTTTAAAAATACTTTATGTAAAAATACAGGGATACACTGAAACAAAAATAGCAATCAAGGCTGAACATTCATCTTAACTGTATTAATCTGACCAATTAGGGACAAAGGCAGGGATCTCCATCTCTGAAAGTCTGATTGTATCTGAGTGATCATCATCAATTACAAATCCCATCTTTATTTTACAGAAAAGAGCTGTAAGAATTATCACCAGAGAACATTACCGTCACCCATCAAATATATTATTTTGTCAGATGAAATTGTTGAAATTTTATGAGTTGGCTGATCTTAATATTTTGCAGGTCATGTATAAAGCTCATAGAAATTTATTACCTCTAAATATTCAATTAAATTTTGTTACGATAGTAAGTAATGATAACCTTAAGGGTATAGAGATGTTTGTAAAGCCCAAAATTTGAACAAATTTGAAGGACAGATGTACTTCAGTCCGAAGAATAAGATTGTGGAACAATCTGGAAAGTGATTATAAAAATGCTGACTCAATAAATTTAAGAGAATGATAAAAGTTAGATTGTTGAAGAAATATGAATTAGTATAATGTAATAAGAACCGTTGTTCGAGAAGGAGTTAAAGTTTTTGTTATGTTTTGTTATTTGAAGACTATTGTTTCAATTTATTTGTTTTAATAAAGGGGCAGATATCAATAAAAATTTCTTTTCTTTCTGCTACCTTTCACTTTATTTGTGTTGTATTATTATTTGTTGTATGTATAGCATTTGTTTTGTTTTTAAATTAAATGAATAAATTTTATAAAAATAAAAAATCCTCAGACTGAAGAAGTCTCTTGATGAAAGATTTCATTAAAGGCCAAGTCACACTAATGTTTTAGACAACTTATACAAACTTATGAAAAGTTTGTCCAACACTATAGATGTCTAAGCTGAAGATGGAATTTTGAACCTATACTGTAATGCAAACAATTAGTTTGAATATGTAGCCAATATGAGTAAAATACTCATAACAAAATGTTCTTAAGTCGGCATAAGTTGTCTAAAACGTTACATTGTGACAGGACCTTAAGGAAGAACCCATCCAGAGGACCTACCTAACCTTTTGTTGATTTCTCTACCTGGATTACTGAGATGTATCAGGACAAAATTAATAATTGTTTTATTTTTACAGTAGTGTTCTTGTGTCAGTTAATCTGTGTTAGTGAATAACAGACTTTATATGGTTTGTTAAGTCTCAGTTAGCCTTCATAACCACGTGAAAAATTGTGTTACAATAATATTCTGTTCACATAACACAAACTATTTTATCATTTTACTTGTGAAGTTATAAATCTCACCCATACTGATGACATAGGGTGTTTCCCAATTGAAATCTTAATAATCCATCATATAATAAAGAGGCTTTTTAGGGGACAATATGGAATTAAATCAATAAATACAAAATGAAAAAAATAAAATAAAATTTATGGAGGTGATTTTAAAGACTTGAGCTGGATCTACTTTAGTGCAACCTGAATGAACTCCAGCTGTTGTGGCCTCTAAAGCCTGATCGTACAGACCCTAGTCAAACAAACAATCCACCACACTTAACTCATTTAAAGCTCCTAGAACCAGACTACCCACCTGTCCAAGATGAGGCCGTGAGGAATGTAGACCCGCTCCAAGTCAGCAGCATAGTGCTTTGGAATACAGAACAGATCCAGGTCATAGCCCTGTTCTTCATCGCTGATCTGGAAAAAGTGACACAAAAGGGTTAAAGAAATACCAAGTGCGTGTGGTACTTACAGAGTTTCCCCATTAAGCCTAATCCTGTCAACGATCAGTTTTTCTAATATTTTGTGAAATCAGATTTTGTATTGCAGGTCAAACAGCCTGCCATGAAAGCAGACAGGATAACAGGAATCATGTGATTGCCTGGGAGCTGGGGAAGAGATTGCAAGGTGGTGGAACCATTTGCAACCAGAACCAGATTGACTGCACTTCAATAGCGTACAATACAAATCATGACCAAATTTTAAGTGCTTGTACCTGTTTACCAGGTGTTGCCTGCTAAAATGAAGATACACAAGCTCCTGTTAAGGTTAAAACCTTTCAGCAACAAACATTGTTGACCGATAAAAAGAGGATGTCTCAGCAGTATGCAAAATCTGAAAGATCCCTTTCATTACTACTTCTGAGCTCTCGGGCTTTCAGGAGCAGAGTGAACCAACCAATTAAATTTTGTTAAGAGAGAAAGTTGTTGTGATCTGAAGGGGATAGAGATGTGAACCTGGAAACCTGGATTTCGAACTAGTTTGAGGGAGCGGTATACTTCGATACAAGGAATGAGACTGTGGAACAATCTGGAGAGTGATGTCAAAATGCCAGATCAATGTTTATGCGTAAGAGAATGACAAAAGTCATTTTGTTAAAGAAAAATGAAACAATATAATGTGTATTCATACAAATTGTTGTTTGACAAGGATTTGAGGTTGTTTTTGTTTAGGTTTTCATGGTTGTAGATTGCTATTGTTCAAAAATATCAATTTTGGGGGTAGAAAGGTGCAGATATGACTTTTTTCTTCTTTCTGCCACCTTTCATTTTATTTGTGATTTGTATTTTTGTTGTTTAAAAAACAATCAAAAACTTAAAATAAATAAATTTATATAATTTTTTTAAGAAATTAATTTAAAAAATCAGTGAACTGATCTGAGGTCAGAGAAAAATGCCTTTATTCTTTTAGCAGCTACTTGCTGGGTAATTTATACTTTGCCTCTTCATATCTGCTTTGTACTCAACAGGTTCCGTTTTGAACTCATGTGGTTATTATCACAGTGTATTTCTGTTTTTTCTTCCTCGGGTTTAGGTTAGAGCTAGGTATCATGGGTTGAAATTAAGGCAGTACTTACTGCCTTACTTACTACGACTGGTGAAGAGTGATTGGAAATGTAAAAATTGCAAGAAAATGTGCAAATTTTCACTCAAAATCACACTGAACACCACACATGCCCAAAATTCCATGAAAAATTGGGCAATGGGTTCACATACATATACAAAAACAAACAACAAAAACCTGCTCTAGCACCCCCAAATTACAGAAACTGAAAGGAAACTTGTTCCAGCTCTGCTAACTCTGCAACTACTTTGAGAGATGCTCAAATTTACTACGTACAACAGGTGAGTGTAGCTCTGCTACATTCACATAAGAAAATTTAGAACTCTTCTTCTATGAGACTAAATTTTGAGAAAATAAGTATAAGAGTTAGGGAGTTGGCAAACATCGGTCTACAACCAAAATGTTAAGTATTATCAATAATAGTCCAGAAGATTGAAATAATCGACTTTGGGTCAGTTGTCAAGTTGAAAATGAAAAGACCAAATGCAGGTGGCTTCACGGTCAGTGTATCTTTTGGTCATTGGATTTTCATTTTTGAAACGGGTATTAAAAAACAAGAAAGGAGTGAATATTTGATTTTTGTTTTAAAATACTGGAATTAAAATTAAAATACAAAGCCATTCTCATTCTTAGTGTCAAAAGGGGATAAAAATGATTTGAGTTTCATTTTCTGTTTCGGATAGCAAAAAAAATTACTTTAAGACAGAAATGAAAAAAGGCTTGTTTATTTGCATTCTACGACTATCTATTCCCCCACCAGAGGGGGCGCTTAACTGGCAGCTCTACAAAATGAAACACTAATTTCTGTAAATAAAAGGCTGAAAACACAGATAAATATATCCATAAATAAGTTGTATGATGACTGTTGCTCAGTGACCATAGGCTTTGCAGAGGTAATTCATGTGGTTTTTGGCCAAATTAGTCTTTTACTAAATACACGTCAGCTACTGCCTCCACTTCACCTACATTTCTCTCAATAAAAAGCAAAATATGACAACTTTTACTCTATTAGTGTGTTGTACTAGTGTGTTGTATTGTTGTTCTGTGAGCAGAAAGTTTTTTTCCCTCCAGAGTTTTGACAAAATCTGTGTGTCTCTGTCAGTTTGCGTCCTCTGAGTGTTCCTTTCAGTGAAGGGTGGGCAGTACKACGACTTTAATATTGATCTGATACCAAATAAATATTTGGCAAATTTATTTGATACTGAAGTCAACATCAATGCTTTTTACTTGTAATGGGATGTTCATTGAATAACTTTGATATTGCAGACAACCCTTCTGGTGGTGAAACAGTTTGTTGTAGGGATACAGTAAGTTGGCACGACCTGTCATGGATTATGAACAAAACGAGCCTTTTTTCGTTTCCGTCTTAAAGTAATTTTCTTTTTTGCTATCTGAAGCAGAAAATGAAACTCAAATCATTTTTAAAATTTCGTTTATCCCTTTTTTACATTAAGAATGAGAAATGCTTTGTATTTTAATTTTAATTCCAGTTTTTTTAAAACAAAAATCAAATATCCACTCATTTCTTGTTTTTTAATACCCGTTTCAAAAATGAAAATCCAATGACCAAAAGATACACTGACCCTTCACCATTTTCAGAATGAAATCACAAATGACTGCCAAAATTATAAATCAGTATATATTTTTAGAACCATGTTCTGCATGCTAAGAATATAGTTTGTCCATCCAACAGTCTCTTACAAGCCTTGATGCCTACAGCTGGTTTAAATGTTTGAAAAAAATGTAGGGAGTGGTGGAAAATGTGGGTTTTTGAAATAGATAGTCAATAGCTTTGCATATTTCTAACATACTGCTCTGCCCCAACATATATTGACTAAAAGCACAAAGTACAAAGTGGCAAAAGTCCAAATGAACAGTTTATTAACTCTATCAGTCAGTGCCACCTAAAATCTGACTACACAATTCTGGAAATCCTGACATCCTTAACAATTTAAGATAATCTGGTTTTCACTTTTTCCATTGATTTTATAAATCAATCATATTTTATCTGTACTCTCAGTTTCAGCCACTTCTTGCAACTACAAGCACTAGCTATTCATTTACTTGTTGTGGAGGGGCCATCCAAGGTCGGCCTTGTATTTCAAATATTACAAAACACCCACAGGGCTGGACCTTGTGCTTGGACTTGAACTGAAATAAAACTACAGAGGGAGAAGGGATTACCGTGACAGTTTAATATTTGAAATATAAAGGAAGAATACTATCTTTGGTGCAAGGGTCCATGACAAAACAACTATATTTAAACATAACACTTTACAGAAACACTTGTTTTTCCAGACATTCATGCTGACCTGGATACACAATATACAGGGTGACTCAAAATCCATGGGAGGCCCTTTTATTTCAGAAAAAGGGAAAATAAAATATACATACTCTAGAGAAATATGGGCCTCTTCGATGTCTTACCTGGGTATTCATATTTAAAATTTTCCTTTTTTCTTTTTAAATAGATGGGTGTCCTGTGTAGGACTGGGGGAAAAATGTAATCCATCTTGGATCGATTTCATTTAAATTTGGGGATATTGATTCATAGAGCATGAGATCAATTTTCACCATGACATTAACCTCAGTAGTCTTGTATGTGATAAAGCAGAAATGCAATTATTTGTTTTGTGTCACTCCTGGGTTGCCGTATATTTGATGTTCAGCGCTAACGTTAGCTTCCAACAACAAGTTGTCTGGGGCCAAACAAAAGAAAGTAGGGAGTTACTAACATTACCAGCTGACTCTATGCAGAACTTAAAGATAACAGAGAGGACCATGGTGACTTTTGTTCGAAAAGATTTACACTCGTACACGGTGGAGAAAAACGAGGGCTTAAAACCGCTCGTTCAGGTGCTCCGACCAAACTAAACATCTGACTGAATCCAGCATGTATAAATGTGTGAAAGACGACGTTCTAACAAAATCGTTTAGTTTTGTTCCCACTATTATTATTTTTAAACTTTAAGAAATGTCTTAATGACATTCAAAGTGACGGAATGTTGTAGTAAAGGTTTCAGCCAATTTTTGCAAAAACAAACACTATCTGTTCATTTACTTGTACACTTTATTTTTTACAAGATTTGTTGAACGTAGCAACAGAAGGTAACAGAAAATTTACAACTCCAGGGGATTAATTGTCTTATTAATCATTATCGGCTAAATACCACAATTAATCGTGATTTAATTTTTTTTTGCCAATATTGCCCAACCCTAATGCTAAACTTGCTATTTGGAACTGTGTGATGTAACTGCAGTGAGACAAATGTAAAGCAATTAATGATCTAATATGTCAAATATATTACAGTTTTTGCATTGTTCTTTTCATTTTGTTTGTCTAGTTTTATGCACTTAATAAATGTATAAGCACTGAGACACATTAATGTCCTTAAATTAATATTTTCAAATATTAGGTGATCCTTTGAATAGTTCAAAATAACTTAAAATAGACACTTTATTTGCTGGACTGACTGACCTCTGCCTAACAATGACCCTTATAAATAGAATGGCCTTAAAGGTCTAAATCAGTGGTTCCCAAAGTTGGGGTCGGGACACAAGGTGGGGTCCTGCAACATAAAGGTGGGGTCCTGAAACATAAAGGTGGGGTCCTGACATTATTTTCTGAAATAATTACACAAAAAAATTACAAATAACATTTTTTTGCCTTTGTTGTTAAAAAAGTGTAAGGTTAGTGTACTTACAATGTACAAAAATAGCATAATGAATATTGTTGTTATGTCCGTGTTTATTTGACGTGAAAACAGTGTTTATCAACCAACAAAAACTGGGGGCACAAGTCTCTGCTGCTGGTACTGTGTGGGTCAAAAGCTGAGAAGTTTGGGAACCACTGTTCTAAATAATATATGTCTAAGAAAACAAAAACAAAAAATAACAACAATTTGTACAGACAAACTTTGTACACAAGATCTAGACCCATTTCACTCAAAAAGTGCAAATTTATTTATTTAGATTTGCGGCTGGTCGTAGTGTGTGCGTGCATGTCGGGGAGAAAGTTTGACCACTGCTGGGGTGGCTGTGGCAGAGAGGTTAGGAGAGTCGTCCTGGAACCAGAAGGTTGCCGGYTCGATCCCCCGTCCAGCTGTCTCAGTTGTTGTGTCCTTGGKCAMGAYACTTCAVCCCTAATGCCTCTGATGTGTCCCATCAGTGTATGAATGTGATTGGCACAGATTAGTCTCCATATATGATTGTACATGTTAGCTTTGTAGAGACCTAATAGAGTGAACGGGTAAAATGAGGACACAGATTGTAGTGTGAAGCTCTTTGAGTGTCCTGGATGGATAGAAAAGCGCTACATAAGTACAGATCATTTCATTAACTGCATTAGAGACGCAGGATTTTAACTTATTTACATTGATGCTGTTACTGTTTAATATATCCTCGTGTGTTGAAGACTGGTGCTAAAACACACCTTCCTGGTCTTAATGAATCACACTAATCTAAGCTGCTGACAGAGAAAAACGCGTGTGATTTATAAGCTTCATCTTGCGCATCTCCTGCGTCATCAACGTGGAGAGCGCGTGCTCGTCTCCAAAAAGCAGGCCACCCTGAGCTTCAAAACAGACCCACCTTTACATGTGTCTCTCCAGAGCATGCGGATAGGTAATTAAAACCACCAGCATGTTTGAGTACAGCGTGTTACTCTTCTGAGGTGTGGAAACCTCCAGCCACTACCCCGGCTCTAATTTCACTGAGGGGCACTACTTACCACAACACACTGGCTGGACGTCGCCATATCCGTCCGCGTCGGTCCCAGCAGTTCAAATATAAACGGTGAACTCGGCGTCTTCTTCTCCAGAAGTCTTCAAATTGAGCTCGGACAGGTATTACAGTTTCACCTTAGTTTTAAGACAGCGCACAGACAGCTGCGTGAACTACGCCTAGTCAATTTCCGACTGGGCTGCGGCTTTCTCAGAAGCTCCGCCGCGCAAGTTCAGCGTGTGCGCAGAAGTGGAAGTACTAGCGAATCGCGTTACAAAGTGCTTAGCCCAGCCCCACCGCGTGGTGGCTGCCAAAGAGCGGGAAGAGTGGCAAGCCGTTGTATCATATATTCAAACAGCATTTGAAAAGAAGTCGAACATCCACAAAAAGGGTTTGGGGAAAATAGAAAAAATGGTGAAAAGCTGCTGTAAAGGACTGCACTTCTCACTTAAAGATATATTCAGAGAGAAAATATTTCAATTTTCTGACTGCAAGAGCAAGAAGAGAGGAGACGTGTTGTTCTCAGGTTGTTCTGCCCTCTGCAGACCTCCATGCTGTTCCTCATTAAACAAAAATAGCCTCATTGCTTTGATACAAAACACACTAAAAGTGGCTAAACTGAAGACTAAACATTAAACTATACTAACTATAAAATCCAAATATGCTAAATATCACATATCTAATTACCAGAGGTTTATTACCTCCGCCAAGGGCGAGGTAATGTTTTCGGTCACGTCTGTCTGTGGACATTACTCAAAAACTTGAAGACGGATTGTCAAGACATTTTTACCACATCTGGGTACAGGGCCATGAAACACACCTTTAAATTTTGGTGATGTTCCGGATCACGATGCAGATACAGGATTTTTTTTCTTTTAACACTCTGAGACCGGCAAAGCTGTGATGCTTTCACAGGGCTTTTGTAAAAAACAGTGAGCTGGATTGCACATCACAGACTTCAAACTTTATAAAAGTAATGATAAAACCAGATGTAACGATGAATAATTTTTGCCATAATATGCAAATTTACAGAATGTTTTGTGACCAGGAAGTGCGTGACTGTACCATGAAACCTATTTTTCCCATTTCCTCAAACACATCACATTTCCGAAACAACCAATCAAAACAGTTTCTGGCAGAGGCGATTTCTCTAATAGTGCGTTCACACCGAACGCGATTTCAGCATCAGGAGCCTCAGGTTTACATGCAAAGTCTATGATGGACACGGTTCAAGCAGTGTCGGGAAGTGCTGCGGCGCCTCAAGCGCGATTAGAGCAGCGCGATTTGAACGATTTGAACGATCTGAGCGTTCGACGTGCTGAGGCGCAAATCGCTGAAGTTAGAAAATCTGAACTTTTGCAGCTCGTTGCGCCGCGTCAACCAATCAGAGAGACTCCACTGTGTGACGTAGCGACATATTTCCCGACGGGACAGTTTATTGAATGATGTCCACTAACCTGAAACAGATGGAGAGGAGCTC